CAAGTGGGAAGGAGGGAGGTGGAGGGAGCTGGTGGGAGGAGGGGAAGAGCCCAGGGGGGCACAGAGTGACCCCTGTTGGAAGGGTGAGAGCCCAGAGCCCTGGTGGTCTGCGGAGGCATGGCTGTGAGTGTGGGAGAAACAAAGAGAAGAAGGCAGAGACTCTTCCTCCATGGGCAAAACTCCCACAACCACAGAGGAAGAAGGGATGAGCGGGAGCCAAACCAGACGGCAACAGGAGGCAGGCAGCTAAAGCGGGAGAGGGAGCACAGCCTCAGAATCGCCAAACCCAAGGGTTTTGCAGGTAGGGACCCTCCAAATGCAGCAGGAAAGGTGATTTATGCACCGAGCCAAAGCAGGAGAAGCGTCAGGACTGAGGCCCAGGGATGGGAGTGCTGGGGATGTGGCCCTGCTGCTGAAGCCACACAGACCTGTGGCGGTGAGGCCCCAGGGGCTGCGAGCTACGGGTGGCCAGAGGCCTGGCTGTGAGAGCGCCTGCCAAGGGCTGGAGGAGTCACAGGCCGCGGAGCCTGCCCCACAGTGCTGCTGCTAAAGGCACCTGCGGCAGGCACCCCCGAGGAGTGGCAGGGGGCTGAAAAGAGGGAAAGAAGAACAACACAGTGGTTACACGTGTATTTACACAGACACGCAGCAGCAGCAGCAAAGGCCGGCACACTCTCGGCAGCACTCTCATGGGCATGAAAGAGACCCAGGGGCCTCCAGACCCCAGGAAAAGCAAACAAAGGACAGGTACAGACGCTGGGCCCCAACCACGTGTGCGGAGAGCCACAGACTTGAAATGAGAGATCCAGCAGACCTGGGTGGGGAATGAGATGGACACACTCCAAACACAGAGCTTGAAAAAGACAAGAGGGGACAATGGCAATAAATACTGGTGTCTCTCTCCCTCACACACGTACCTCTCAGCGCACCAAACACAAAAGAAAAGCAACACGTGTAGCCTTCCCCCTCCCCTCCCCCCTCCCCACATGTGCCCATCGCTGGGATCCCCTGCCCTTGCCGAGGCTTGCAGGGACATGGGTGTGGAGCCCTCTCAGCAGGCAATGCACCTGCACACAGCCCCACACACATACCCGGAGGCAGGCGACTGGCACAGGGACAGCTTTCCTCTGGGTGAAGCCAGGCTTCGATCCAGGAAGCTGAAGCCAGGTCAATGGTCCCCAGGCCCCAGGAGGAACCCCACAGCACTCAAGCTGCACAGTGCGTCTGTCTAGCTAGCACGGCGGTGACTGGGCCACTTGAACAAAGGACAGGCTTTCCACTGTGGCTCTGGCGGCTGCCCGGTGAGTCCAGAGCCACACCACTTCTGACCAGGACCTGCGATGCCCTAGTCTTTACAAATAAGGGCCCTGCAAAAGGACTGAGCAACCAAAGGAGAAGGCCTGGGACCCAGAGGCTGTGGGTCCGTTTCTGAGCTTGGGGCCACCTTAAGGAGCAAACTTAAGAGGCCAAGAGCTCAGATCTGGGCCATAATCTCCTGGGGGATGGGGGCACAAGTTCTGAGGACATCCACACTGGACTGGCACCCCACAGCCTCCCCCGTGTCAGCACCCCCCCCATTGCCCCGCCGAATGCCACACTGTACGCAGAGCTCTGGGTCCCTGAGGTGCACATGCGCTGCTCACATCTCCCCGTTCTCATCAACGCCGCACACACGCCGCCAAGTCCCACCGTCCTCGGCGCGCACGTCTCCATCGCTCCTCGAAGGCCCACACACCACACGGGCCTGTGCACACCCAGGCCCACGCAGAGCTCCCACGCAGAGCTCCGTGACTCCCTCCCACGCCGAAGGGGCCCGCGCGGAGCCCGAGCTCACGCCTGCCGCCCCTCGCCCGCCCTCCCGCGGCCTTTCCCGACCCCCGGGCCGCCCGCAGCTTCAGGAAACTTCTCATCAGGTCGCTGC